AGAAAATAGTATAGTGAAAGTTTGATTTTTTTATTTTTATTAAATGAGATATATTATTAATTATAAAATAAGAATATGAAGAGGTAATCATAAATTACAGTTTGATTTCCTATTGACATTTTCTCATCTTTTTTTTGTTACTAATAAAACCAATTATGTATAATCATCAATCCATTATCTAGTTTAAATCCTCAATGATCCTCTATTATAATAACTACTTGAATATATAAATTCAGTAAACCTTACATATCCTGACCACTACTTTGTTTTGGATGAAGTACTAGAAATTTTTGAAGTAAAGTTTATTAAATAATTTATTAAAGCAAATATAATAGATAGTGAACAACTAAAAACAAATAACATCAGCTCAATCTGAAAGAGATAGGATTCAAGCACTTCTATCTGAATATATAGAAGACATAATTACAATAAATAAGGACTGCAATACACAATCACTAAAAGAAGCTATATGAAAACTTGCTGAAGCTCTATTAACTACATTTCGTTTACCTAATTCAACAACACATGAACTTTTTAAAAATACAATGGAAATAACTAAAACAAGGATTTCTCTTATTTTATCATGTTATACAGAAGGAATAAATAAACAGAATTCTTTATATCATCAAGAAATTTTAAAAACTTAAGCATGAATTGTTAAAGGTCGAAGGTGACATGATGTAAATATATATAAACTATCGACATTGATAAGTAATTATAGTAGTATAACAGTAAACCTATTACCAATAATAATAATGAATCTGATAAGCCTATTACTGATAATAATGAATCTGAAAAAGATCCTTCTTTTAAATATATCTGCAACCCACAAGTAATAATGTAAAAGAAATTCTTGCTCAATTACTTACTTGTAACTCTTTTTCCAATGACGATCAATTGTTGTATAACACCCAACAAAACCATGCTTAGAGTATATGTTTTTTATATACTCTAAACATGGTTGTGTTGGGCAACAACCCAATTAATAATAACAGTCATACTGTGTTGCAATGGGATCACCACCTTCAACGATTTAAATACAACCTAAGTGCCTTCTTTTCTTCTTTAGTCCTCCTTTACACTATTAATAGCAGTATTGAAAGTTATAACGTCCGCAGAGATCACTGCTTGGCAGATTTTAAATTGCCCTGTTCTCATTCTTAGTCTTTGCTTTTTGTTACTGCACTCTAATATTAAAATAACTATCTTCAACATACTTTAAATACTACTTAAATCATTTTTTTCAGCTTCGGAGGTATCTTAACCATGCCTGTAGTAGTGATTATAACGATTTAAGCAAATAAGAATCTCAGTGTTATTATTCCTCTTTGAACGGAAGATCTTTTTCGGTTTTTGGGAAGTTAAGGTAGGTAGGCTTTTTATTAAAAAGATAGAAACCTTAAGAATAATAAAAGTTATGGCGTAAAGGTACAGTAAGTTATGCCTTTATATAACTAATATAGAGAGAAGATTGCATTTCATTTAAATTTATTAGAAAAATGAGAAAATTTCGTATAACGATCTTATAGTAAAGTACGTTACACGAAAAATTAAGGGACGTTTCCACTGATCGTTAATATTTACAGCAGCGTATCAATGTTGGCAATTGTGACGTAGTTACTCTGAAACTAGGGACGACGTGCTAAAACTTTATGAAAAATAATATATTTTTATGATATCTTAATGCAATATGTTGCAATACAAATTGTTCAGATAAACAAGAAGGTTACGCGTTAACTTTCCGAAGTCCATTTTTGAATACCATTTCACCGAAGTCGTAATACCAACAATCCATTTTACTAACAGGACCGAATATGTCTTTGTCAGTTCACTGAAAATCAAGTTCATATTATTTCACCAATATAGGGATAGGAACGGTTCAAAATTAGCCGGCATTTCACGGCTTTTGAGCCGAACCGAGCCAACTCAAGCCATTTCTATCCATTACACCGTCAGCTCATTTCACCGACAAATTTTGTTAAAAATTGCAATAACCTTAACTCTAATTCTAAACTAACCCTAACGATTATGACCAATATATTTGATGGTAAAATAGACTATCGGTGAAACAACTATCGATAAACTAAGTTGTCAAAAATGTGTCTTGTCGGGAAAAAAGGAGTGGAGTCGGGAAATAGCATTTCGGAAGGTGGACTTCAGGAAAGTGAGAAACGACTAACATCAATAGTGTATGAGAACTACAAGCCATTCTTAAAATATGATAAAAATGTACCAGTATTCATAATATTAGAAAAAATAAATCGATCGGGAAATTGCTTTATTGAGAAGGTAGATATAGGCATAAATTATGTAATGAAATCTCTCTCAGGATGTTGTAAACACAGACCTTATAAATATGTTCATTTTATATGATTATATGAATTTTTTTGGCTTGATATTTTTGCCAAAATATCATAGGAAAAGAAATTACATGGCCATATAATACAAACAATAATATCGATATTAGTCGAGTTAATATCACTCATGTTCTGCGTAGCAGAGCATGAAGGCTGCAGTGAGTCCTATAAATATCCTGTTATTCATAAATATATATACAGTACAAATGAAAAAATTAACCTTATCTATGCAGAGTATAGGCAGATACGCTATAATGGTGGTATTTATTATTACTTATTAATACAATATACAATCCTACAAACCAAGACTTATGATTAATAGATCCAAAAACATGTTGCAAGAATCAAACATGCTCAAGTATTCGGACCTTTCCATTATAAGTTTATTCCTATTAAAATAATTAGTTAGTAATAAAAATTTATTTAACTCTGCTTAAATAAACCAAATCGACTTACCTCATACGTATCACAATATAAATCAATATTTTCCAATAAATGGTATGGCGTATTTTATCTTCTAAGTAAGTTCTTTGGGTATTTGGTCATTTTCGATCCTTTTGTATGGTAAATATTAACCTTTTTTTGAAACTATAATCATGTTGGCAGAAATTTGATTAGTGAAACATTGCATTATTAAAAAGTACCGTGAAATATATTGGTATTTTGCCCGGACAATAGATTATGCCAGCCAATCAAATAAATTTCTTTCTATATAATAAACTGATACGATATGGCATACCTGAAAAGAAATCTTCCTATGAATTTATGGAATCCCTAAAATTGATTGTCGTAGAAAAACAAATTCCTTAAATATGATCACAGACAAATCAGATTTATGATTTTGCCAATGCATAGCATTCCTTTCTTCGGCAGACTACACACTTCGTGATTCAACACTCCATCTAAATATTAGCTGAAGAAAACCATATGTGTGAATAATAAGAAGCAAGAATATGGTCCTGACTTGTTGCCAAACTAATAGCAAATGCGCTTAGTAGAACACAATGCTGTCTTATTTGATTTTTAGCTAAAATAAAAAATAGGATCAAAGAAAATAATCATTAGAAATAACTGTATACTCAGCAAGTTATAAGATTAGTAGACAGATTATTAAAAATACCATATAATAACAAAATTTGTGACATTTACATATTAATCTGTTTTGGTGGGCGTTATAAAAGTAGTTATTATTTTATTTATGAGTTCAAAGCTCACTTGCTCATCCCAGAGAAACCTTATTTAAGCTTAAAATTTAATTATAATTGAAGATTATTAGCTTTTAGATTTGACTTTAGCCTGAAGTAACTTGAGCCATGGTTTAAAGTAACTTGAATTATAATTTGAATTGGTTTAAATTATAGACTTGATCTATGGTTTGAAATAGCTTAAGCCAAGGTTAAAACAGTTTAAGCCAGTTTAAGCCATAGCTTAAGTTATCGGCCGCAGCTAGAGCAGGAGTCAGTAAATCCTTTTTTTTTTTTTTAAATATTAGCGGTGAGTAAATCCGTTTTTACTAATATATATAAACTATAAATGATAATAAATTTATAAATTTAAAAATCAACTATACTGTATATCCATTCCATTATGTACATTTCAGTTATATCCATACCGACAGCCATTTCACAGATGAAATAATTCTGTTTATTGTCGTTAAGCTCAGGTCAGATATACTAAAATCTATTTTATTTATAGCACAAAATAATTATATATGCCCATTTGATAATAATCAATGGTTGCAAGTATCTCCTGACATGACAGTTAAAACCACAAATAACTGGAATTGGACTATCCTAAATGATACTCAAATGGATGTCCATTATTTTTTACATTTCACGCTGCAGCAATATATAGAAACTTCAGGATCATTGCATTTTACAATGATATATTTGCTAGAATTTACTTAACCGTGTTTATAAACAAATATTCATTTAATATTAATATCAATGCATTCAAGTCGAATTACAACATATGAGAGTCAAGTATAAATGGTAACATTTAAGTTTTAAATACACAAAATTATACCTGGGTTACTTCACTATCAATAAGTCAAATTACACCTTAAACTACTCTAACAAGTTCCTCGAACACAACATCTAAAAAATTCATTGTATATTGGAGTTGGTATTGGAATTGGTGCAGTAATCCTTATTACAATTATTATATTTGTAGAATTTAAATTTGATTCCAACTCCTGGAAAACAGCAGATACCGTCAATGTTACACATATATTAAAACTGGTGAGGGATTATATCCATCACAATTGAATCCAACATAAATAATTTAATTTGCGATTGATCACAGGTGAGAGGGATTCATTTTGGATCGGGCACTGTCCCTGCTGTACTCCTGGAAGTGCCAAACTTTATGATTAAATATGTTACGATAAAACTTTATATATCAGATATTTCAAATTTTGTGCAGTACGGATGATTAATTAAAAAGTTTTGTAGTATTAGGTAGTAAAAGAATATAGTGATAAATTATTAAATAATGAATGAAGAAACAAATTTATTGTTTGTATAATGTATTTAAAATTGTGATTTTATAAAAAAGCAATAAAAATTCCCAACTATATATTATTACATTAATCTTGAGAATCATCACATATACTACATATTAAAAATTGTAGAATTAAAATATTTATAAACAATAAATAAATGATGGATGCTTGTCTCCCAAACGTAGTTCCTCTTCACCGTTTTTTTCATTTAAAAATCGCTCTGGCTCACTAATCTTAAGTTTATTTGCTCTACTTAATAAATAGTATAAGATTATTGATAAAACTATAGCAATAAATAGAAAAAATATAGAAATAGAATTTCCAAATTTATAGTCCGGCGCATCTTGAGGTCTATATAAATGTACGCATATCATTCCACCAATGTTACCACTAGCTACTATTAATGCACTACCTACTGCACATTTCAAGTCTCCTGCTAAGTTATTTGTTATCCTTTTGAATTTAAAGGATAAGAAGATGGATAAATAAATTGAAAAGATATTTAGATATGGACAAATATTAGAATATTACCACGTTATTGTTAAAGGAATACATGAAAATATTCCCATTCCAATAATACAAGCACCAACGTATCTTACTAAAATATGAAATATTAGCATTTATTATTAATTCTAATACAATTAAATAAACAAAATATATAATTACTTGCAACATTAGAATTCACTGCATAAAGTAATATATATCCTGTAATTGATATCAATGAACTAAATATCAAATATGGACCGCGAGTTTTATATCGATCAGATAATACCGCAAACGTAATCATTGAAATACATCCCAAAATACATGGCGGAACGGAAAGAAGTTGGGAAGTAACTAATAAAATAGTAAGTAAAATAAAAGTAAAACGAAATTATTGTTTGTAATATGTTATAAATGGATATGGAATTTAAGTGGATTATTAACTGTTAATAAAATTATTGTAAGAATTTACCATAACTTTTAAAAATTTTTTTGAGCATTTTAATCTTGAACATCATAAAAAAGTAAAACATACCAGAATCAAATCCCAATCCATACACAATCGATGGAAGAAAGAAAACGAACGAATATTCAGTAACTGACACACTAAAAAACAGAATCGATCCTATGTAGACTTTCTGGCAAATAATATGATAAAATAAATCAACATCATTAATGATTTAACCTATTTATGCAATATCTATGAACTTACCCAATCTTTAAAAGCCTCAAAAATCTGATAATTATCGTGATTAGTGGTAGAAATTTGACCAGAATCAAGCTGTATACGATTATTGATCATCTTGCGTTCATCTTCGGTAAGCCAATTAGTGGTTTCCGGATAATCCGCGATCAAAAAATACGAGAAAAATGCAACAAAAACTGTTATCAACCCATCAATGAGAAAGATCTAAATTTCAACAAAAAATTTTAATATATGAAAATAAATAATCTATAATTGTAACAAATAAACAAGAATTATGTATACCCATTGCCAACCACTCAGACCAAAAATACCATCTAAACCCATCACATAGAATGCCATAAGCCCACTAAATGCACTAGCAATCACGGAACCAGAGGAAAACAAACTAATACGATAACTTTGCTCGGATCTTTTATACCATTTTGTAATATGAAATATGATACCAGGAAAAAGTCCAGCTTCAAAAATTCCCAATAAAAAGCTTGTTACCAACAGTTGAAAATAATTTGTCACCTTAAAAAAGAACAATAATTCAGAATTAAAGATTACTATGATTATAAAAAACTATTTAACACTTACGAATGCCATAGCTATCACTATGGTGCCCCATCCGATCATAAGTGAAGCAACTACAAAATTGAAATGAGAATATTATAAATATTTGTGATATTGTTATATACACGTAACTAATATAATTTTTTTTTAAAAAAGAATAAATTTTACTCCAAGTTGAAGGTTTGGTTTTAACTAATATGATATTGGATGGCACTCCGCATAATACATAACTCCTACAAGAAAATAAAAAATTCAAACTTTAGTCAAAAAGGACAAGTGATAATTCGGTTATTAGAAAAGATATACGTACACAAAGAAAATACTTATAGACCAATTATATTCATGCCCGGTTAAACCAAGGTCGCTTTCCAAGTTAGCTAATTTCGCGTTTCCAATATTAACTCTAAAAAAAGATGCAATACGATTAATAGTATATATTATGAAATCAATAAGCAGATCTTAACTACCTATCCAAAAAACAAATTGTGTAGAGAAGTGTAAATAAAGGAATGTTTCTTATATCAATCTTCCTCAATAATGTTTCTTCATTAACACTTGTTACAATTTCTTCCCAATTTCCATTCCTTAATAATCTTTCTTCAATACCATTTGTCACAGTTTTAATTTTCTCTCCCATCTTATCATTTGTTTGTATTTTGTGCCAAGTTCTTAAATGATCACTCAACCATTATTCATACTTAAAAGTAATTTAATTACAACTATTGTGGTTGGCATAAAAGAGCATTTCTTATGTATTGGTGACGCCAACGAGAAACCAGATTTAGGATTTTAAGCTTATTATTTATTATTTACCAGTCTCAGCCCTGATTAGAGACATTTGCTAAGCAAATGACCCTCTGAGACTACTGTTATATAGATTTATTTGGGGTTTTAGATATTAAAAATAGAATAACATATGGCAGTGACGTTTGGACTCGCGAGGAGGTAGCTACCTCTGACTGCGACTATGAGTTTTATTAACAATATTTAAATTTATTGACCATCTAAATAATCAATATGACTAAATTTGTTATTTTATTTTAGTGACAGAAGAAAAGACGCATCATATATGTCGCATATTAAGGCTGAGTGTAGTAAATAATAAATAATAAACTTGAATACTCAAAGTCTAATGGAACAATATACAATAGTAGATAAAATTTCCTGATGAAGGACCACTTTATGAGTACATAATTGACATAGATTATGGACCCCAAGCATTTCTTTACTGTATTAACGTTGCCTGCGCGTTATTTTGAGTTATTTCATATTTATCTAAATATGAACGTTCTTAGAAATGTAATTTCGAACTATGCATGTTATTTTAAGTGCTACGATTTTCAAAATAACATTATGTCATCATATCCTTTATTCAAGTGAAAAGAAGATTTATAAAACATAGCAAAACAATCAGATGCTAACGTAATAGATGAACACAACATGATGATTTACATGGAATAGGAGTTGAAAAGATGAAATTAAGAAAGTTATTCATTGTTAAAAGTAATCATTTCAAAAATCTGATGAAATTGGTGGACTTAAAAATGACGAAAATAATGCAGATGTGATATCAAATATGTATTGATAAAATTTTCACACTTATCTTTTCATTATCCCTTTACCTAGATTTGTAATTCGTTTCTGTTTCATATATATATATATATATATATATATGCAGAACTTTTACAGGACAGATGAATTTATAATATCAGTAATGAAGCATCGATTCTGTGATATTGCCAATAAAACGGCACTCTTTAAAAAAGACGTGAAGCTTGTAATGAGGCTGAATTATGGATGGACTCGGTCGGTTATTTTCGGCTTAGCCGGTCAGCTGAGCCAACCCTAGGCTAAATGTCTCAGAAACAATTGTTAATAACGTTATACATAAAAAAAAAAAAAAATGTAGAGCTGAGTTGAAAAAAAAACCGATCGAAGCGAGGCAAAAAGAGAAACTATTGCAGATTTATTTATTTATTATGGGACGGCTGAATAATTTTATGATCAGTTGCCAGCATCAGCCGGCCATCTCACAAAACACTTTAACTTGAAAAAATAAATAATAAATTGTTTAATATTCTGAATAAAATTTTTAGAGCAATAAATAAATAGCTTACATTCGAAACCAATAATATGTCTCTTTTTTATTCCGATGTATTTTGATAACGATATTCGATGCGTTTTATTCGTAATTCACGATAACGCCGACAACATTCATTTCAAAGGCATTTCCATATTTTTGAAGTGTTCGAAACACAAAACCTGATGTGATTTGTCCATTATCTTGTCAATTTTGGATAATAAATAAATATTTATATCGATATTAATTCTTAAACTTAAATCCCATTATAATTCCATTATTATAAAATCTAATTCTATTACTTATGTAAAAAAAAAATTGACTTGATGCGCGCATTGCGGTAGATCTAGACCATTGTGCCATCCTTTTCATTATTTTTTCTTGTTCTAATATTTCCTTCGACTGGAAATATAGTAATTTGATGCACGTTATAAATAAAAATCAAAGTCTCATCCCTTTCGTTTCAAATTTTTATTTCCCTGAATTCTATGTTGCTCAATTCTTATACAATTCCCTACCGTGAGTCATGTTTTTTATGATCGAATTATTAAATCACTCTTTTAGATAAGCTAATACATATAATAATGTACAATTATAAAAGTCAATGGATTCCAATTAATGCATTTACTCTTGAATCTATATTACCTACAAGATTTTCGGGATATTTTTGTAAAAGTAATTTGTTGTTCTTAACTAATAAGTTCCCTTTAAATTTGTAAGACTTTCAATAATACTGACGTTAAAAGCGAAAAGCATGGGGTTTATGGAATTTTTATCATATATAGATAATACACGCTGGCATAGATAAATTAATTCGTAATTAGTTATGTGAAAAATTATATATGTATAGAAAATCTGTATCCTAATAATAAAGAATTTGGGACACAAATTTACAAATATAATATGTTGTAATGATTTAAGACGAGGATATCAGAAGCTTATAAATATTCGAAGCAATTAGTTGACGTATCTTGCTAGGGAAAACATTTGTTTTTATTACTTAGTTGATTTATCTGACTGATAGATTGTTTATTTTTATAAATATGCAGATAACTTTGATTGGATATTGCTAACGGACATTGCGTAGAAGTAGAGTGTCCTCCGCTACGCTTCGGACAATTAACAATTATTGAGAACACACCATAATGTTATATAAATCAAAAGTTGTATATTAAAAAATGGGTAAAATATATATAATCAATCATGCTCAAGAGTGACCGTATTTATAAAAGCGAATTTATTAATTATTTTATGTCGTTTTATGAGGTAACTAAATTTTTATTTTTTCTTCTTTAAATAGTAGATTTAAAAAGTTAATTGATGAAAAATAGTCTAAAATATAGATTTTTATATATTAAAAATTAGTGTTATGGTTATAAACAGTTTATTTTAATGCATGGGTGTAGTTACGTCCGGAACGGATTTTATCACGATTAAACAATTCACCTTTCAAGGCTTATTAAAGATTATATAAGAATGAAATTGTTGAGTCTGAAGTTGCTACTGCTACTTCAAACCTGAAGTAACAATTACCTGGGACTTAAAATACTTAATTTATTTCCATTAAACTCAACACCAAACATATATTGTTCCTTGTGTAAACATATATAAATCGGTTAAACATTATTACCATTACTTGATGCTTTGCATTTTATATACTTAATATATTTTATGGAATCGTCATTCATCAATGGTTTATACTACGAACCTTCTTACGTGTCGTTTTAATAAAATATTGCAACGAACAAAATCATGATGCTAATACGTATATTATCTACAATAACAAACACATGAAACTTGAACAATAAATTAACTTGTTTTTAAAATTTAATGTGGGAATAAATTTTATTTATATGATGTAATATATAATTTTGTTATTTAAAAACATTGAATATTCGGATATTCTCGAATTTTTATAGTTTTATACATTGAACTTATAATATGATCGTGTAATAATTATTTAGTTTTCGGATAAAGCTAACTATTCCGAGATATTGTCAAGTTCAATAGGTCCGACTGGATATATTCCAAGCAAAGACTAGTATGGGCTTCTAGGATTATAGCCAGTTATCTTGAAATGGTGTAGATCAAACAACTAGATGATAATCAGTTGCAAAGTTTTCCGTCGATATTAATGCTGGTGGTAATATTAAAGAGTGGGTGCAGATTTAATTTATGTTCGAATGCTGCTTTCCCCACTGCGATTGATGTGAATACAGGAATATATTGAATTTTTCAATAATAACACTGAATGTCTTTTTTTTTTTTATCCTCTCTTTGTAGCTCCAAATCTAAACTTAGATCTAAACTCCCCAGTTGACTACTGGATTAACGACAAACTCACATTCTCAAATCTTTAGTATTATCTACACGTACCAGTATTTAACCATACCGTTCCAATGTAATATTTATCTCGTCGATAAATTATTAAATTGAAGCTTGCAATTTCGCAATTGAAAAGAGAACTTAAATATCATATCTGATGCAAAATTTTCCTTAATTTTTTACTTTCGAGGAATGTTTTATTGCTCGTCACATTTGTAACAAAAAAAATAATAATAACAATAAAACTAAATAAAGAGAAATGTCGAATAATTTGCATAATTACCATTGGAATATAACAATTAAATTTATTATATCTGAAGGTCTGCTGAATGAATATAGCGCTAAAAATTATATCTGAGTCTGGTGTAGATAATGTGGTTTACTTTTTAATTACTTGAAAAACTTCATATTCTTCAATTTGTAAACTACTTGAAATACCAATATTAGAATAATACCCATTATTACTATAATTTATAGAATTCCCATTAATATATAAAGTTCCAGCACCAAAATATGGGCCATAATTACTACAACCATATATTGCACTGGAATAATAAGATGATGAAACGCGTCCTAATTGGTAATGGGCCTTTGATACATCAGTAGGATTATTTAATGAAAAGATAAAGCTATCGGCTGACTGCTTATATTGGCTACTTGTATCCCAATCTACTGGAGCGTAACCACCAACAACTTGATTTGAATTTTGAATCTTCGCCAAGACAATCGTTGCACCTTTCTTATCACATCTTTGATGAAATTTTTCATTTTGAAGACCATCTCTGCTTCCACGGAATAAAAGGTTAAACCTATAAGGAAGCGTATTTTTATTATAAGTGTCACTTTTTTTATCAATCCAGCTTGCAAATAATGGTGTATATGCTTCATCAACCAAATTTGAGCTAGTTATACATCTAGGAGGAAATACATTATAAAGAGGCGCTGCTCCTGGAACCATATAACAGCGTAAAATGTCATTGAATAAGCTATTTGGAAGGATAGACATATATGGCAATACTTTATGATAAAAATCTGGCATGCTAATTTCATGAAATCGAATATATTGAATACATCTTTGTAATGTTTTCTCCAATAGTTTAAAATCATCCTGATTGAATTCAGTCACATCATCTTTAAGTTCTTGATTCTGTGCAATTCCCCATTTGATTAATCGTTCCCAAATTTCACTTTCTTCCATATCAAGTCCATCATGTTTAAGAATTAGTATTAACGCTTCTTCATCCAATGAAAGGTACTTATTTGAATCACGTATAATGTCAGGTTTTGATCCAATGATTCTTAAAGAACGTTTTCTAATCTCATTAAGGACTTCATGACGAGCAACAATATGAAGCATTCTTGCAGGATTTTGTTGTAAAAAGCCTTGATGATTTTCAACAAAATATTGTTGAACATGGTCAATAAGTCTAGTAAGACCAAATTCATCTGAAGCAACCAAAAGCTCCAAGATTGTTTCTCCTTCTTTATCTTGAATATCTACATCCCCACAATATAAAAATCTATTTATGACATAAATAGTTTATACATTTTTTTTTAATATTATACAAAAAAAAAATAATACAATTAATCTAATTCACTACTTACTTAAGAATAAGTTCAAAAATTAATGGAGAAATATTAGGCTTCTTAAAGATAAAACAATTATTATCTTTGTCTTTCGTTGCCCAACCAGAAGAAAGAGCTCCACGAAAATAAGCAGACCTAGTACGAAGTACTAAGGAATGTGCATAGATTTCTTCAGAATTTGGCTCTTCACCAGCATAAATAATCACATCATAATTATCTCTAGATTCATAAAGCTGTTTATAATCTTCAACTATATCAGTAAAAAACTTTTTGCTCATTTTATGGACTTTAACAGTAAATTATCGTTATCGTATCTGGGAATAATTTTTAGGAGTAACAAATCATGTACCACTATGTAATAAATTTATTGCGATTTACAAAATTATGTGAAAATTGATTATCAAAAAAAAAAAAGTAATCACTAATTTAATCTAAAAGTCAAAAAAATGTTGAAATCGGAAATCCGTGATTACTTTTTTTTTTTTAATGATATAATTTTGCAAACCACAAAATCAGATCTTATAATTATCTTGCATAATATATAAGTAATAATAAATGATTGCATCAAGGGAAAACCTGTCAATTATGTTTTGTATCGGACTAGTGATGGGCAAAGTAATTTGCTTATTACGTAAAAAGTCACATCACACAATGACGTAATTCCTAATAAATTACATATGTCTGGTGCAAAATATAATTAAAAGTCCGATAACAGGTTTTCCCTTTACAATAGAAGTAAAATCGCAACCTGGCAATAATTAATAATAATTATGTATGCGTAAGTACTGGGATAAAAAAAATATGGAACTATTACTTACATTATTACCTTGCCTTACATATGCTGCAGAGAGCTTTTTAACAATACCACTTTTAACTAATTTTAACGGTCCCTTACTTTTTTATTTTCCTTTTAGTTTAGCAAAATAACCCCGTGAAAAGCAAATCACGAGTTGTTACCGGATGTGCCATCTATACGTGTTGGGCCTAGTGATGTCAACGGTCGGTCACGGTCGGTTTCGGTCGGTCATCATCGGTCAGAGTCATGACCGAACCGACCGCGGTCATGACCGATGGGTAATTTAAAATTTTTGCATCTAGCATTATTTAATTAATT